GTGTGACGCCCAAGAGCAGTCAGCTGCAGCTGAGAAATACAGACTCCACAATAAGGATGAGGATAATCTGCTAATGTCCCTTAAGTCAAAATTGAAAGACAAACATGAAGAACATATTCTTCAAGATCTTTATGAATGCCTTTAAAGCATTTAAATCAAACAGTTAAGAAATTCACAATTAATTTCGTGTGAACACACTGATACCCAATAACTGAAACACCAAAGAAACTGTCTCCCAGTTAGGCACTCTAATACAATAGGCTATTCTTTTCCAGGAGGTACCATAATCAAGCATTATTTGGTAGAACAAAGACAAATGTTTCCCTTTCTCTAGAACCAGGCAAACTAGAAATTACAATGCTTCATAGCTTTTACAAACACAGTTTGAAAGGCCTGGAAAAGCAGACCTCTTGGAATCTTCTCATGGAAGCAATGAGGGCTGTCAGAGGAACTGCCTCCTTGTTTTACAAACCACATTTCAGCAGAAAGCCTTCTGATGTTTGTTAAGGACCTTGTTCATTCATTTGAGGTCTGTGATTCTGTGGCAGGGTAGCAGTCTTTAAATCTCATTTTTGGAGTGAGACAAGGCATTTTGGGTGAAAGTGTGGTCTCCTGAGTTTTAGATGGACTATCCAGGAAGACAGCATGAGATAATTTCCATAGGAAAGGATCACAGGAAGCCTGTAGTCCAACTTCCAGCAGACAACTGGGTCAGCCATGGGGTCAGGCCAGGTTGCTCAGGGCTTTATCCAGTTTTGTCTTGAAAATCTCCATGTATGGAGCCTGCAAAACTGGATGTACTTCGATCTAAGGTGTAAATGTATCATATAATAGCATAAGAACATACATATACCCTGTGCTAGGAAGAGGGAGTAGAAGAAGGGGAGCTAATCGTAACCTTCCTATTTACGCTTGCGACTGGAAGCCTTCAGTAGCCTCTTAAATACAGAATGAATTCACTTTTTCAGAAAATCAATTTTCAGGACATCTTAAGGCATTTTCCAGCCCTCCAGCACTTGACAGGGTAGTAGCTGCCATTTGAAGAACATCTTAGAATTGGAGTAAGATAACGCACTAACCTTCAGAAAAAAAGATTGCAGCTAGTGTTTTCTTTTGGCCACCTTTTGAGACAAGAGCCCATTACAATAAAATAGCTTCACAGATAACTCATTGAAGTGTTTAAGCCAACCTGGGTTTGTTTTTAGAGACTTCTTAAAAATGAAACTTTGTAATAGTTGAAGGATAACATACACTTTGAATTGCCTAATGTTTTTGAAAGAGCACACAACTTCCTCAGAAAGGCTTTGATAATTACCCCAGTGTGTCAGTTACTGAGCAAATGAATTTTATACCAAGTTGCTAGCAGTTTTTTTTAAAGAAACAAGCAAATGCCCCATAGCAATGCTTAGTAGAGGCAAATTTTAGCCTCCTAACCGAGAAAAGGAGCATGTTGTAGGTGGTGTATTTCTAGATAATTAGCTGAAAATTAAAAAAGCTCAAGGAAATAAAATGAAACTACTTGCTGAATGGTTTATGCCCTAGAGCAAAAGACACCTTCATAATGATAAAATGCTTTTAATCACCAAAAGTTTGCCTAATCGTTTCTATATTGATATACAACACAGCACTGAAACTGTGCCAGCATGGCCTGTCCCAAAATTCACTGCAGTAAATGCTAATGGCACTTGGAATGAATTTGCCTAATCTGAAAAACCTTCTGAAGGTCTAATCCTTCCCCTTTGGAAAAGGATCCGGCCAAACAGGCACAGTTTTACCACAGCTGCTACTGGAGTCATGGCTTTTATATTGATTTTTTTCTTTAGACACAGGAATCCCGACTTTTGGCTCCTTGAAATGTGCATATCTGTGTAGGTGGCTGAGCTAGCTTTGCCGAAAAATATCAAGTGGAAACCTGGGCTGTGTTCAGCTAGAGCCGGAGGGGGGGGGTTCCTACCAGCTCACAGAACATGGTTTCTGTCCCACCTCTCATGGGGGAACAGTCTGAGTGCCCAAGGGGAATTTGGGAGGCTTACCCAGTGCGCACCAGCGGTTCACAGAGAAGTTGTGAGCACGGGGAGCTCTGACCTACCCTCCACACCAAACTATCCTCCATGGCTGTCGCTGATAAACCAAGCTGAAAATCTACACAGAATATGTGTTTAAAGAGCCCAAATTGCTCTTACTGTAGAGTAAAGGTGGTTTTATTTCGCAGTCCTGAGTAACACGCTCTGGCTCTAGGCAATCCTGCTTCAGCAGGGGAGTTGGACTAGATGATCTCTATGGTCCCTTCCAACTCTAAAAATTCAGTGAAATTCAGTGAAATTATTTAATCAAATTGACCTGTAATTTTTGGCAGCTTCTGGTTTCAATTTGTGACCTGTCATCTTTCTTCTCCAACTGCACTGACTACTCCTTGTTACCGCGAGGAAGCATCACCATCAGCCTCTGCCTCACTGCTCTCAGAAGATGACTCTGCTACTTTACCCATCGAGCTGCTTGCCTACCAAAAGTCAAAAGAAACATGCAGAAACTTGCCAAGAATGGGGTTTCTGATGCAGGTGCTGGCTCCGTACCAACCCCACTGACACAGACAGACTGCCGCCACCCTTTCGTAATTAATTTCTTCTTTGCTACATGTCAGGCTTCAGAAGGTGCTGATTACATTTACGTAGTTGATGAGCTTCCTAATCCAGTGTCCAATTTCACCTGCATGTTGAATTTTTAATCTTGTAAAGATTCTTAAATCCATAGCTGGAATATGCCCTCTGCACTGGAAGAACCTGTGGTGGAACGAGTATTATATAAACTAAACGCACAGGGTTTTTTATTAAGTTGTAAAACAAGACTTGGCTTTACCCCAAAGTAATTAATTTAGTCCTTTAACTGAAAAAAAAATAATCAAGACATCTGATCTTTTCAGGGTTATATATAACTTTAATCAGTTGATAGGTGCAGCCTGAGTAGATCAATCTGAAGAAATATGTTTGCAGCATGTACTTATTGAGTGAAATTAAATCTACAACACTCAGAAGGTTAATCTGTATATCCCTATTAGAAGCTTCAGTGACCTTCTTTACAATCTTCTGAGTGTATTACCTCAGGAAACTAAAATTCAGTAGGCATGTTGCTTTGCTCTAAAAATCTTACTAGCCACCACAGACTAATAGATTTGTAGTTTAAATGGAGGTTACATTTTTTGTTAGGGCATATGGATATCATAGTATCACATGCCTGCCAGGTTGCCTAAAAGGGGAAATGTGTCCAGCTCTTGTGAAACAGCAAACAACTGGCATATTCTGCTCGAAAACCTACTTCCCTCCTTGCCTCCTCCCCTTTTATTTCTACTAGGGAGCCAGACAAGCAATGGGCGTGAGGAATAGTCTTTGCTCACCAGAACTTTAAAGTGGATGCGTGGTTGGCTTTAAAGGAAAAGAAGGGAAAACCGGGTCTGCTCTGAGCTGCTAGCCTCTGTAATCAACTGTGACTACAGAGATCCTTAAGTGAGATAAAAGAGAAAATGTATAGCACCGCGGCGAGGCTATACGTACTCACACAACCCAAACTAAGCAAGAGGAGGATGGCTTAGCACTTGGATTGGAAATCCATAGGGAACAGCCCTACGTACAGGTCTTGGCTGCCTGTGGCTGCTTCAGATCCTGGAGCACTTTTCAATGACCATGTGTTATCCCCAATGTCTAAGCTCCGGTCAGGGTAATTACACTCTGCTTAGTTAAATCCCCCTGGAAATCAGAGCAGCGCGGGGCTCTGTACTGTCTGCTCTGAACCACCGTCTTGAGCTGGTCCGTGATGTTCAGCTTCACGTCGAAGGTGGTTGCGCTTCGCTGGTTTGAGAAGTGCTCCCCGTGCGCTGGCTGTAACAGCGTGCGAGATGATTTGAGACCTGTTAGGGATAAAAGATGTTGGAAAAAAACCCGGAGTGTTACGTTACAGCTATTCCAAGAAAGGGCTTATGGCACAAGTGAGCGATGGGGCAGTGACTCACGGGGAGAGTTTCCAAAGTGTGTGCTGGGGTAATTCTAGCGACACACAACTGCAGCAAAACGCCCAAAGGGGAGAAAGCTGGATAGAAGTGGTTTGAGCACAGCTCTGGAAAGTCAGAACTCCTCCGTGCTTAACGCCGTCTCAGCGAGAGCTGGAGCTACTTCTTCAAGGACTTCCTTGAAGAAATGTAAGCGAAACCATGTGCCCATTAAAGAGAGATAATGCCATTTATCTACATGACTGCTCTGTTGCCACAATAAGCCGATAACGTTTGCAAGGCGCATACGAAGGGGTAATAAGCAATAATGAAATATTTTTCTCCGCCACCCCGTCTCCCGCAGACAACATATAAAGTTTAGACGCTACCTGTTTTAGCAGCTAATTCCAGCTGTGACTTGCCTCTACCTGGCAGCCTCCGTACGTTTATTTGTGAGCAGAGGGAGAGCCTACCCCTGGCTATGTATCAGCAAACAAAACCTGTTAGCGAGGCGCTTAATCTCAGGGGCGCAGGGAGGAGGAGGAGGGGGGGGGG